GCTTGCGTATATTCAGGGCGTGAGCAAAATAACGGAAATGCAACATAAAAAAAGGACTTCAATTTTGAAGTAAACTGTTTACTACATAAGGAATTGACACAGTTACAAAGGTGAGTCATAATCAGCTGAATTCCATACGCATGCATCAGCTATGAGAGAGGTCTGACAGCCAGAGCTTACAGAGTTAGCTTCTAAGAGGCCAAATAGTTAGTACCTGAATTTCCGGTACTTTGGTTATACAAACTGCTGCATTATTTAACACGTCAAGAGGAACTTTCTCAAAAGTCGCATCAATACAAGGAATACGTGGACAAACTGCATCACCGAAGAACGGCATTCAAACCGTCAACGCTGACTGACAGGAGCAGACACCTAACAGGGTAGTCACTAAGCAGCACCAAAGGACAACCCCCCCCAAAACGAAGCGGCAGCTCAGTGACACTGCTGTGCGCTGAGAGACCATTTGGAGGCCCAGACGGGGCATGTCCCCCCCCCCCAATATCGACAGACACCCCCACTTCTTTCCAAAAAAAAGAAATAAACTTATTGTATATTTTTCTTGATTTATGCAAATAATAAAACCCTCCATCAATGACAACACTATGTCAGAGAATTTCTGGTTATGATTAGATTGAGTGTGTGCTTCCTTCCTGCGGCATCCCTGTATCCCTCACGCCTCCCCCGTCATTCCACACACATCAAGGCGTTAGATCATGGGCGGTCCTCCCATTAAGAAGAGAAACATGAAATCATCCCTATGTGGTCAAAAATGTCACTGTTGTATTGAAGGGCCACCTCTGCTACTTTAAGATAATGATGTAAATAATCTTTAAACACGATATAGTGTCATAGTTTAGCCATCGGCAAACACAATGGCGCCTTTTGCTATTTTACACGTTTCTCTCACGCTACAGATGCAACACATAAGGAACACGCACTTAATTCATCTTATCTTTCGTTGTGAATCCACACGCTACTGAGGCCAGTGTGCATGCATAACGCAGGGACGAAACATATCAAACCTATCAAAGATTGTAGTCCTAAATGAGACAAAATCATTTTATCATATAGATCAGTGTATTTTTTTTAGTTATGAATCTGCAGTTTTATTTTAATAGTGTCTTATTTTAGTCTTATTTTAAATGATAAAATGTTTATTATTTTTAATTACATTTAATTTTATAATTTTTATTAATTTGTATATAATTTTTTTAAATTATTTTTAAATCTTTCTTACATCACATTCTCTACCAATGTGACTATTGTGCCAATGTCACAATATACATCATACCCTGCCCCCCCCCTGCATTTGGGGCACATTTTGTCCTCCCCAATGTCAAACTGACACCACTGGGCCCAGGAACACTCCAGTGTTTCACTGAAAGTAATGTCTCTTATATTGTCCACCAATATAAATTTTCAGAGGTTAAAGAAAAATTGGGCACTTGTTGTTTCAAACAAGCATCTTTCATTAATTTTAAGTCAGTACTAACGTTCGTTAATGTTAATTTGTTTTTTAATTCCTAATTTAGATTCCAGTCTTTGGGGCAGATCTATTAGGGGGAAAAAAGTGCTGCGTGAAATTTAATGTAATGCATAATTATTGACTATTGGTGTTTTTTGGGCACATTTTTAGGATAACTGTGCTGTTTTTGTTTGCTGGTGATGACTGTTATGAAAGTTGAGGATATGGATTAGAGTCAAAGCATTTTATTAGGACAGCAAAACGGAAAGATGTTAAAAAGGGAGTGAAATACAGTCACGATGGATCTTACAAACAGCAGAGGTGAGTCAGAGGCAAGTCATAGGTCAGTTAAAGGTGAGCCTTTGTCTGAGAATTCTCAAAAAATGAGCTGTGCTTTTTCCTATTCTGAAAAGGAGAAACAGGTCTGTATGAACGCTGGTTGTGCTGTATTTGAGCTCCTGTGTAACCATGAGAAAGACAAACAAGGTGGAGTATCTTAGTAGATATCTATCTGTATAAACGAGCAGAACTGTAAGATGTAAATCACTGCCCCAGATAGAAGGGTTTGGTCAGCAAATAAACAATGTAATTGCATTTTTGGATGTGCTTCATGATATTATCTTTTTGATTCCTTATGATAGTCATGCTTCTCTTCCTCTCTCTCTAGAACCTAAGGAAGTATGGCAGCCCAAGTAGAGATGAAATCAGGACAGGGGGAGACAGCAGGGGTCAGTAGTGGACATCTGAGGAGGACTGCTGAGCCTCCCTCAGGCACCCAGGGGCACGTCACCCTCGGCCTGCAGGCCGGGAAACCTGCCACCTGCACCAAACCCCTCCTCACCCCTAAACCTTTCTCTCTGGAGAAGACCCTGTTCATCCGGCCCATTCTGCCCCCCAAGCCTCAGGTTCCAACTGCCCCTGCAGGAGCTAGCCAAACCAGTGACCAGAAATCCAGTGAGCTCAGTCTTGCTGACTCTCCTGGAGTCCTCGGTGGGGACCAGACCAGATCTACGAAATCCAACACACCCACTGCTCCTAAACCAGCCCTACTCAGGAATCCTGAAATCAACCCACCCACTGTTGTTATACATGATCTCTCCAGTACCTTGCAGAGTAATCTGCTCTGGAATTCTAAATCTGACCTGCTTAGTAAGCCCAAACTGGATCCGACTGAATCTTCTATATCTGTCCCACTTAATGCACCAAAAGCCAATCTATCTACTATTCCTAAACCCGATGATCCCAGTACACCAAAACCCACCCCACCTCATACTCCTAAACTTGACCTTTCCTCTGTACTAAAACCTGTCCCAGTCAGTACTCCTAACCTATCTAAGTCTGAGGTATTTGCATCACCTGAGCCCCTGGCCAATCAGGCTACCTCCATAGACTCCCCTGAAAAGCCCAGGAAACTATCCGTGTTAGAACGAATCAAGATGTTGTCACAGTTCCGGAATTCCCAGGAGTCTTCAGCATCTGGGATGACCCAAAACGAGCAGCAACCACGAGAGAGGGGTGCAGGCAACCAGAAAATGGGCGTTCCCATAAGCAGAGCTAAGTCGATGGGCTCTCTTGACCTAGCCAGGTGGGAAGCATCGAAGGACGTGACTGAAGAAGAACAAACTAGGGGGGAGAAGTCGTCAGTCTCACCACCACTGCGGAGAAACACCTCTGTCGTGTTTCAGCCTGCCACCCCACAATCTGCAGGTTCCCCACACAAGGTGGCGGCCCCCCGGAAGACAGGGGCCACTGGCCAGCTGAGCCAACTCGCGTCTAGGTTTGAGTCCCTAAATACCCCAGACAAATGCCAGCCAGACAAGGGGAACATTCCGGAAAGAAAAGGGAAAGAGGCCAGGTGTGTGGAAGAGGCCACAGAGTCACAACCATCGGAAAACACAGAAGACAGCCTCAGGCAAATGATGCCGGAGGGGAGGACGCATCAGGAGAGCAAGAAGCAGGGCACCGATCAGGAAGAGGCTGCTTCCAGCATAAAGAAGCGGATCAGTCTTCTGTTTGACCCCTCCTTTGCCCAAGGGGGCGGGGTCTCCACGCCCCTGGAGGTGGAGCCTCATTCATCGGCACAGCCCATCCAGGAGGTGGACATCTCAGTGGGTGTAAAACAGCGGATTAAACAATTGATAGCAGAGAGCCCATCTCAGTCCCCCACTCTGAGAAAGGTCAAGCCCCGCCCCCTCTCTCAGGACCTCACCAAGTGGTAAGTCACAAGTGTCTCCTCTCTGCTCTGTCTGTTAATAATATACAGATAATAATATATCTGTTATTTTTTTTATTGGGAACCTTTAAATGTAGTTTGTTTATACACTAGGAAAGTACTTGGGTCACATGTAGTTTTAACTAGCAGGGTAGACAGTAAGAGTTAAGGGTCCTGATCATATGGTGTCTCTGTGATGGTCGGTTTAAGAAATCTTTGGATCATTATTGACTGAAAAGTGTCTCAGTTTTTCACCAGGAATGTCTATGGACACTAGCCCTTCTGTTGGCCTGGAGAGAGTTCAAATGAGAGGTGTTGACAAGAAAGGAAGAGAGGCCCATGAGAAGGTTAGTTTTACTCCCTGTTGATATTTTCAGTATGTAATACTAATGTAGTATTAGTGCATATAAAATTTGAGACCCCCTTTAGACTTTAAGCTTTACTAATAGTGTCAAAACATCATCCTCTTTCTTTTCTCTCAAGGTGGAAGACCCTATGGTTGACTCGAGTATTAAGGGTCTAGACCAGAGTGGGGCATCCCTCACTACTTTAGACCAGTCAGCCAATGGTGGGACAGAACTGGAGGTGCAGGAACCTCAATCAAACAAAGAGAACGCACCAGTAGAGACACCTGAGAATGCAGTTCCCATCATTCCATCCCTCCAACTTGGTCATTTAGACCGCAGTGCAGTGAGTGAGGGCATTCTTGGTGCCCAACTGGAGGAAAAAGCCTCGAAACGGGAAGAGGAGATACAGAAACAGCTGGAGCAGGAAAGGAAATGGGAAGAGGAGAAACAGCTGGAGCTGGAGAAGAAACGGGAAGAGGAGAGGCAGAAACAGCTGGAGCTGGAGAAGAAACGAGAAGAGGAGAGGCAGAAACAGCTGGAGCTGGAGAAGAAACGGGAAGAGGAGAGGCAGAAACAGCTGGTGCTGGAGAAGAAACAGGAAGAGGAGAGACAGAAACAGCTGGAGCAGGAAAAGAAACTGGAAGAGGAGAGACAGAAACAGCTGGAGCTAGAGAAGAAACGGGAAGAGGAGAGACAGAAACAGCTGGAGCAGGAAAAGAAATGGGAAGAGGAGAGACAGAAACAGCTGGAGCTAGAAAGGAAACAGGAAGAGGAGAGGCAGAAACAGCTGGAGCTGGAGAGGAAACGGGAAGAGGAGAGGCAGAAACAGCTGGAGCTGGAGAAGAAATGGGAAGAGGAGAGGCAGAAACAGCTGGAGCTGGAGAAGAAACGGGAAGATGAGAGGCAGAAACAGCTGGAGCTGGAGAGGAAACGGGAAGAGGAGAGGCAGAAACAGCTGGAGCTGGAGAGGAAACGGGAAGAGGAGAGGCAGAAACAGCTGGAGCTGGAAAGGAAACGGGAAGAGGAGAGGCAGAAGCAGCTGGAGCTGGACAGAAAGAACCAGGAGAGGGAGGTAGAAGAAGCACCCCAACAGATTTGCACAGCTGGGGAAGTCCTCCCCACATCTCGGGCTAGTAGCAGCACCCTAACAGAACAAAGTGTTAGAGAAGGTGATGAAAATGCCACAACTGAAGAAATTATTTTTGATGATTTCTCTGTGAAGCCAATGAGGTGGAGATATATGAGGAAAAGCAGCCTACTTTACGGAAACACTACCCACACTTCTCAAACTCAAGCTGATTCTTATGATGAGGGAGGAGAAAAGGAAAATTATGTGGAGAATTTGAAGGATCAAGAGCAACAAGGAGAGATTAGGGAAGACAATGAGAGCTTACAAAAGAAAATAAAGACTGGGATTGACCAGGAGCATGATGGACAAGGGGGTGTAAAGCAAGAGGATACTAAGAGTCAGGGGGGTGCAGAGATTCTGGACCCCATAAAACAACCTTCCAACAGGTCCAGCCACCTTTCCCCTGGTGAGAAACTGGAAGCAGAAGAGGACAGATGTAGTGCTCCCAGAAAGACAGCCACACAGCCACTCCCAAAGCCAGCCACTTGCATAGCGGTGAGTACTGTATGTGTAGAGTTCAAGGAAGAGTACATCATCCTTACCGACAGTAACTGAGACTCACTATGTATGCCAGCATGCCTGGGCTCTTGCGTTGCCCAGGTGGAACCTGAATGTCTGTTGCAGTGTGTGTTTGCAGTATGATGGTATTTGAGTGTTTGCTGATGATGTGATGTTCTGTCTGATGCTTCTTTGACTGTGACTGAACAAGCCCTGGTTTGTTTGCGTCCCATGGTCTGTGGTCAGGGGTGTGACAGGAGGGGAAGCCAGGGCAGGGAGCCTGGGGGTGAGGAGTAGAGCCTGTGGGCGAGGAGTAGAGCCTGTAGCGGGGCTCCTCCCTTGGCTGCTACATTCTGTGCTCCTCAGACGATTAACCTGATAAGATACGTCTGCAAAACAAGGCCAAGGCGTGACGGACTCAGGCAAACATATGTATGTCAGGTTTCCCATGACACATACTGCATCTGGGTGGGAAGAACACACCCACCCTGCGCCGATTAAAAGCCCATTATGCCAAACCACCTGGGTAGCAAGCAAACTGTGAGTAACCTGGCAAGCAGGGGCTGAACACTGCGGTGACGCCATGACACCAGTTCTGACTTCAGTTGCTTTGTTTATAATTGTTTTTTTTCTCTCTTCTGGCGCCATCTTCTGGAGGACATCGAGTACTGCAACTGTAATTTGACTTGAGCTGATTCATGCTGTTAGACTTTGGAGGTGTAGCTTCCCTGTGTGTCTGTGGTCAGGATGTGAAAACCACGTGAGAACTGGCTGGAAGAGCAAGATTCGGGAGGCTTAAGTAAGGTGAAGACTGGCGCAGGGTCCCTGCTCTGATGCCTGGAGAAAAATGGTACAGTTAAACACCTGAGGCCACCTAAACCAGTCAGTGGGTGTAGCTGTTACATGACACTTAGTCATTGGATTTCACCCTTGTGATCATTTTGTGAGGCATTGCTGCATTACTGCATACATCCGGGCAGAAGATGGTTTGTTTATTAGGAGTGTTTATGAATCCTCCAGCAGCGAAATGATTAACCTTATTTTCACATTACAGTTCCTGTTGTCGTGGATTAGTGCGATGCTCAACTATAAATATGAGTGGTTTGTTTGTTACGCGTGCGCGCGCAGTTGTATTCTTACAGCGAAAGCGAAAGCTACAAACTCATAGGATCGTAGCGCACTAAGCTCGGATTGACCGAGTAAGGCGAAATGGGGTGCTGTTTGGGAATATTTCGGCTGTTCTGGGTGAGTGGAGTTTGAGTGCATCTACTTTGAGGGCAGCGAAGTGGGGTTTACTCAGTAGACGTGCAGCTAACCTGCTAAAAAGAAAAAAGGGGAATCTGCAGGTGTAAGCTTTGAACATTTTTGACATTTTCTGGGTGAAGTACGAAACAGTGGGGGCTGTATTCAGATTCAAAATGGGGATCTTTATTACCACACAACCAAAGCCGGTGGAAATTCTTGTTACCACAGCGTGTTACTGTAGGAGACCCTATGTTTCTTAATCCTGTCCTCGGGGACCCCAGACAGTCCACGCTTTTGAGAAAAAGTGGACTGCCTTGGAGGCAGCTGGGAGAAAGCAGAAATGTAGACCTTCTGTGACTCCTCGAGGACTGGGCTGAGAAACACTGACAAAGACAACTATCAACTATGACATAATGGATACAAATACGGGGCTCCAGACTAACTTTTTGCATCGGTTGCACTAGTGCACCTAATTTTTTCATTTAGGTGCACCGCCACAAAATTTAGGTGCAACCCCAAATGTTTCACAGCGCCTTTACCGCACCAATAATGCATCTTGAGGGTTACCGTTTTGTCATTTCCCATATGTACACTGATAGTTATGTAAATGATTGTAAAGAGGAAGAAAGGCGCAGGTAAACGTCTTTATTTGAATCACAGCTAAACCCGAAAAGAATACAAGAAATACTTTAAACCATTACTTTAAAATAAAACTTAAAAGTGCCGATGTTTAGAGTGCTTGGCAAACTGAAAATTACCTAGATATTTATAGAAATGGCTTCGTTTTGCGGCTGCCTGACGCCGAAACGCTGCAGGGCTGAGGGGGGGCGTTCTGGTGGTCACATACTTGTCACCACACAGGATGTTTGTTAGACCAGTGTTTCTGAAACTCTACATTTAAATGTAATGTTTTAAAAGTGTTATTATAATAATTGTTATTAATATTATCAATTTATCAAGGTTATTATTATAATCCTGCATGTTAAGCAGGAAAATATTGTTGCCACCAAACTAAATATAGGGTCACAATAAATACAACACATGGCTGTTTTATTAGATTATCAAGGTAAATGTAAACGATTTTATAATTGATAAAAACATACACATTCTCTGCCTCTGATTGGCTCTGATTTTGAAAAAAACAGATAGACCTGCGCGGTATGTTAGGCGCGCCAGTGCGACCAGGAGAAACATTTAGTCGCACGCGACAGATTTTTGGTCGCACTCTGGAGCTCTAAGGTGACAAGTGCAAGACCGTAAGTTACACTAAACCAATATGGACAAAAGTACTGGGACACACCTCTTAATCATTGAATTCAGGTCTTTCATCCAGACCCATTGCCACAGCTGTATAAAATCAAGCCCCTAGCCATGCGGTCAGGTTTACAAGCATTTGTGAAAGAATGGGGTTGTTCTGAAGAGCTCATTGAACTCAAGCGTGGTACCATCATGGGATGCCACCTCTGCCGTAAGTCAGTTTTTGAAATTTCTTGCCTGTTAAATATTACACGGTCAACTGTAAGTGGTGTTATTGCAAAGTAGAGATGTTTAGGAAGAACGGAAACTCGGGCATGAAATAGCAGATCACGTAATGTGACAGCAGCATGGACGAGTTCTAACACCTATGGTGCATAAAAGTCACCGACGCTCTCTTGACTGAATAACTGCAGAGTTCCAAATCTTCCAATACCTTTGTCCATATAGTATGTCAATGTACTGTCAGCATAGTGGCTTAGGACACAGACTCAGCCTGAATATGAATGTGTACATTTATGGGGTGTCTCATGAAGTACATTTCGCGGATTTGCCTGTTCTGTTTGAAAGTCTTTCTTCCACCAGGGGGCGCTAAGAACCCAAGTGTCCAACAGGACATTTCATTTTGTATTTTGATTGGACACACCATAACAATCGATGACTGACCTATACTGGGGAGAAAGAAAAAAACAGGGACTGCACTGAATAAATATTGCTTCTGAATAATATATCACCTTATTTATGTAATTTTTAAAAACCATTGAAGTTCATCCAGTAATTCGATCGTTTGTCTATAGCTGAGGTTTTCGCGGTTACTCGCCTTTTCTGAAAGACAGCAAAATATTTGACCAGTATTGAGTGACATAAATGAGCTGGGAAGAGCGAAGGCTCTTTTGAGCTGGAATGTACCAGCACAGTGTTCCCACATAACCGTAAGAGTTACAGTGCATCTACCCTTATTTGCTAACTAAATACTTTAGTATCTTCCTATTTTTACCTAAAAGATACTTTGCATTTGGCTTTTCATGTCAGCATTGTGTGTTTCGGAGCTGTGCTCACCGCCTTCTCCTCAATGGCTCTCCTCTCTTCTCCCTTGTTTTCCAAGCCCTTTTTCCACAACACTCAGTGTCAGTGTGAATCACTGTCCAGCCCTGCATGTGCGAGCAGGCTGGGAAAGGCAACAAGACAACTTACAACTTTCACAGATTGGGTTTTATCTCTCCTCAGCCTGTCTTGCCCGCTCTCTCTCTCTCTCTCTCTCTCTCTCTCTCTCCCCCTCCCTCAGGTTTTTTTTCCCCCATCCTGACTCTACCCTATAGCGTGTGGAGCAGGGCTACTGTAGGCTGGCACATTTCCCTAGTACCTGCCTCTACCTGCAGACAGGAAGAAGACGTCAGTTAGAGCAAAGTTAAGCGCTTTCGTTTGGGGTTCTCCCCTCTCTCGCGTTACGATTCTCCAAAGCTGGCTCAGGGTGGACCTTCGCTTACACTTAATTTTTCCTTGAGGAAGAAACGGCCAGACCAGCCCTCCTGCTGTTCCTGGCCACACTGCCGTTCGCTTCCTGCCGGGCTTCTGAGAGGAAAAGCAGGACCGGACTGGCGACTCTGCTGGCTGTGTTTGTCGTTTTTTTCAAGCCTGTTCAGGATGTTTTCAGACCTGGGTGATGCTTGCCGGTAAAAATTGAGGACCATCAAATTCTGGGTCCGAAGATGACGGGCTTTTTCTGAATTATTTGCTGCCCTGGGTCGTACTTTCCACACTGGCACATTGAGCTGGATGTTCATCCATGGAGAACACCTGCATTCTGAACTCCAGGTGTCAGTACTTTCAGGTTGTCTTTGGGGCTGGTGCTGCTAAGGAGGACACTTGAAGCCTTTCCCTTGCCATCTGTTTCTGAGTGTTTAACTACTTCTTTGAACCGGTGAGCCAGTTTCATTTGACCTTGTAAGTGCTACAGCGTGAAGTGGAGTATCCTTGAAGCTCTTAGATTGGGCTGCCGTTGTGTTTGACAGAAGACACTGAGCACAGGAGATACCTGTAGAAACACCTACCTCGGGCCCATTCTTGGTAGTCGTATAACATGCGGATGTAACTAACTTGCCGAGCTTTGGAGAGGTTCACCGCTGTGACAGCTTCTGGAGAAGACAGGGAGTTGTTCTGCCTCCAGGTCAGTCGTCCCTCACGGGGCAACTGAAAGTGACCTTTGCCTGCTTGGAACCACTCCTTTGTTCCTGGGCGAGGAGACGCTGAGCTACGGCCTTCCTCACGTTTGCTCGGGGACGCTCTGGGGATTAACGTGCAGCCCCCCTGCTCCACCCAGGACAGGGCAAGCCGCTCCTCGCCATGGAGTACTTCGGGGACAAGCTGTCGGTGGCGCAGTCGCAGGTGTCCACCTGGGCCAGCAATATGCGACGCTCCCTGCAAGAGGCGCTGGGCCTGCTGAGCGGCGCAGTGGAGAGGCCAGAGGGGCAGGAGACTGAGGAGACGGGCAGCGGCTTCAGGAGGTCCACCTCCCTGCGGGGCCTGGCTTCCCGCAGCCGCGAGTCCCTGCGCAATTTCAGCACGCGCAGCCAGCGTCACCTCTCTATACGCAACCTGCGCAAGCGCTTGGGAAACCTCGATGACGACCCCCCTGTTTCCTCTGACCCCCCAGCTGCACCAGGCCCCCAGGACCCTGTAAGCTTCCATACCGCTCTCGCCCTTTTCTCTTTTCCCATCACTGCTTCTAGAGTTTTTCTCCTGAGTTTCTGACTCTCAACATCTCGCCATGGCTAGTCACCACATTGACTTTCGGTGCGCTGTGGTTGACCATGATTTTCCATGTCGATACACCCCCGAGATTAATTCTCCTTAGCTAAACACAACTGTCCTTGCCCTTCACTCTCATGTGGCAAATGCTAAGAAAATAAGGTTTTCCGTCTGGCTTCAGGTTGACCTCCATGGAATGTCGTCTTGGGTGATGAGGGAAGCATTTATATTATAGAGTGTAAATCTTAGGCGGCTGACAGGAGCAGGTTGTTGCTGTTTCTCTTAGCTGTTCATTCGGGTCTTGATCAGGGCTTTGCCATTGGCTGTCAGCTGTCCTCACACCTAATAACCATGTGACTGTGGGTTTGATTGCCGTCCCAGTGGCTTATTGAGTTTTTCTCCTCATGATGACGTGGGTTTCCTCCCATAGTGCAGAAACATGTGGCTTGGTTGGGAATCTATAAATTCTATGCTTGGGTGTGTGTGTGTGTGTGTGAGCACGCATGCGTGCGTGTGTGTGGTTGATGGGCAGGGTGGATCCTGTCCAGGGTGTCCACTGCCTTTTTCTCCATATATCTTCAGATCCGTGACCCTGTATTAGATACATTGTATGGAGAATGGATGGATGAATGCATGGGTGAATGGATGGATAGGTGGATGGATGGATGGATGGGTGGATGCATGTTAAAGACATTATGAATGAATTTGCATTTCTGCTTAAATTTTTAGTCTTTATAAAAACTGCAGAGAATCAGATGAGAATGAAACGCGCCGGGCAATGCCGATGGGAACTGCTGTTTGTGCTCCACTTCTTCCTGCTTCTACAGAATTACCCATCAGCCCCTGGGCATTCTGTCATGTGCCTCTGCTACAATATGCATTTTAATTTTTTTTATGCTGCTGCTTTCAGTTCCTGAATTTAACAGCTAATAAACCAAAAACGGACCTTTCCTTAAATCACTGTGGAAAAGTGCACTGCAGGTGAAATCACACCATAATGGAATTTGCTTTGCTTTTTAACTCATGGAAAACACTTTTTTGGCCCTTATGCTCTGTTGGCAAAACTGGTTATGTTTAATGTGGATTAATTGAATATGGATTCAGGAATTTTCCGAGCAATAATTCATTAAAAACTCAATTAGATTAGTGGGAAGTGCCGAGAGAGGGAAATCCCGGCAGATCCTGCTCCGTTTAATAAGCTAGCTGGAGCCGCCTGCCATGGCAGATCGAGTTCAGCCCTGGGACTAGCCACTCTGTCCGTGTGTAACCCAGACGTCTCCAGGAAAATGTAGAACATGTTATCAAGTCTGTTTGAGGAACACCTGATCGCAGATGTAATAAAAGCCCTTAATAGGAGACTTTCCAGGGATAACCAATAAAATAGAATATTCAGAATGATGCAGGACAATATACTGCAATTATTCATGGAGCTAGCTTATTGATGTCAGCTTAGCCATTGCAGAATCAGCAATGTCAGAGTGTAGCTGTCAGTTGGGATGAATCACTTTGGGCGATTATTTTGTTAGGGATTTTTCTGTGTGTGCTCATCTGGAGAGAGTTTGAACTTGATCTGACAGCAAGTTTTTGCGCAGCAAACTTCCTCCTGAGCTATGAAGAAGGCATGTGTTTGTGGCGAAGTAAGATTTATATTCAGCTTTGTATGTGTGTGTGTGTGTGTGTGTGTGTGTGTGTGTGTGTGTGTGTGTGTTTGGTTAGGAGGCAAGCAGCATTGAGTGTGTTGCACGGTGCTGAACCTCGAAGCTCCTCTGTGATAACGCTGAATTTTGCCTAATTATCTCATTTCTTCCTATTTTGTATTTTCAGCAAGAGAGGGTAGCAATATTGTAACCGTGGATTCCAGCACAGAACTCTGCTCAAACTTGTATAAACAGATAGAGTGTGGTGGGTGTACGCCCTCTGATTACACATGCCCCCCCGCCCCCGAATGCCCACACCTTGCCGACACGCCCTCGCTGAGTGGGAGAGGCACTCCTGCATTTCTGCCCCACCTCCTCGCTTGCTGCAAGTATTTGCGTCACAAGGCTGAGGTTTGGTGTCAGACTGGATGAGCAGCCTTTGGGATTGTAATGCAAGCTGCAAGGCTGCGTATAGCTACTGCTCCTCGCCGTCAACATGTGACGTCTGAGTGTCACGTGACGAAGGCTCGCCATGTGATTGGTCAGAAGAAGTTTATTCCAGTTCACTGCCTCATGCTGCTCGACGCTGCAAGCGACCGGGTTCCCTTTGCACTCTGGCCTGGTTCCCCTGTGGTCTTCACTCGTCGTCCTGCTGACAAGGCTGAGAAGACCCCACCACGAGATAAGATCTATTATTCCAGGGTGTTTTTGAAAGGGGAAAACGACAATGAGTGGTTCAAGGATTCATGGGATGCAGTGCCTCGTTGTATTTGTGGTTCTCCTTTGGTAATCAGCCAGGAGCAGTGTAACAATGAACAGTAAACATTACTCCGGTCAATCACAAGGACTTCCACTGATACGTTTGAAGTTGCCTCCGGCGGCCCGTGTTGTTTGGTGCTGTTTGGTTGCCAAGCAGCAGAAAAAAATAACATGCTGGAACAGACAGACCAGTTGAAGGTTATTCAAAGCGTAAGGTGTGACACTTTCAGTCATGCACCAGGCCCTGTGTGAGCATGTGAGTGTGTTGCCTTGTGTGTAATCCGATTCTGACACGGGACGGAATACAGAGTGGAAAAACCAGGACCCGCCGTTCCACGTCTCATATATATTCACGCCTGTTTGTGTTCTCGCATGTAATCATGTGCGTTCGTGTTCTCATAGTGGTTTTT